AAAGCTTTGGTTTTATTGTGTCTCAAGCTTTACTCTTTGGATGGTTTGTGAAAAAAAAGTCATTGAATTTGCATAAAAACCAACTCGCATTGCCTTCAGTTATCTTAAAATTCAAAGAAAAACCCAACAATGAATATAATGCATTAAATGTGTCAATATGTCCATATGGTGACAGAGCTCTAAAATGTGTTTCGTATTGTGACCCAAAACTTGCAACATTAGAGCAGTTTGGTTGAAGAAAATCTGATTTATTTCCTTTCATTGCAAGATAAGCAGTAACCATGATTTATGGCATAGTGGATTAGATTGAAATCAATGATTGTCTTGGTGAGTAAATATCAAGATGAGGACATTTAAAAATGATTCTGTGAAAATGCAGCCTCAGAAATGCTCCTGTTCACATACCCTGTAAAACAAAGGAGGGTTATATAATCTTCACCCTTTGTATTGATTTAAATACAGGACAAATGATGCATTCCAGCTTTTCTATTGCAGTATATTGTATGTATATGATGAACAAGCGGACTGGTATCACTCACCATGACAAAACCGAGGAGGCTGATGGAGACATTCCCTTTAATGTTGATTGTATTAACTTTTTCCAAAGGGATGCGGTGCTTAAACATGCTGTGCTGTTGGCCTTTTATTTGTACCTGACAAATCAAAATCAGGCTTTAAGGTTTAGGTAGCATTTTAATGAATATTAGCTTTGCTTCTTATGGGCATATCATCATTTGGCAGTTGCAAAAACGGCCTTTAAAATCTGGGTTAATTGTTTGTTAATGCATGGATTTATGATAATTATTATGTATTAACTAGATGTGGGCTTTCCTTAAGGGGGCTGTGAGAATCACAAAACAATTACCTGATATCCTTCTGATTTGATGATGAAGAACATCTCAAAATCTTCTCCCTTTTTAAAGGGGTTGTCAGAGACACTTTCCTCAGCTCCCCATTTTCCATTGGTAGAGCTGTTCATGGCCACCTTATGGCTTATTCGGGGGTTAAAATGGAAAGCAGTGTCATGCTTGTCAGTTGGCCCAGTCTTGAAATTGATTGCAAACCTGCATGGAAGTTGAGACATGTTAAATGATCTGAATCTAAATAATAATTCGTCTCATCAACCTTATGAGATTGCAGAGAATAGTCTACATTGTAAGTACAATAAATGGAAAATTATTTCGTGTTTAGAGCAGAGCTGGGCCTCTCTTGCATGTTTGGCGAGGTATCAATATTGTTATAATACAGTGGTGCATGGCCATAAATTGTGTTATGTCTACTTATTGCAATACATATCTTATCTAGTGGTGCTTGACGATACCTAACACTTATTCAGGGCATATCTAAAGCGTGGTTGCATACAATACCCATGGAATTGTCACATACCGGTCAGCATTAGTGGGAACGACTCCCTGCACGTACAAGGCCATTCCAACTCTCAGTCCTCCTGAAATTGGACCCACATAAGGAAGCATCTGCAGTAAGAACAAGAAAATAGGCATCAGTCCAAATCGAATGACATGAGGGTGAGTAAATGACATCATTTTCAGGTGAACTATCACTTTAAGAGATGCACTTTGTTGTGCGTTCAGAAGTCACTGTAATGGAAAGGTCACTCACAGGGTTTTGCACTGGCTGCAAGATCTCTGACTGTGCGATGGAACGTGAACTGCCCAAACTGATGATTTTTGTTGTAACTTCAGTAACAAATGAGGATGTACTCCAGTCCTAAAGAGAGAGAGTGCATTTAGAAAGCTCTTTACATTCCACATTGGATTCCGACACAGTATCATTCATTCTGCAATATTGAATCAGCTGATGAAAATATAAGTTACTTGTATGAAGCCAAGAAGTTTCACATCAACATTTCCATTTATATGTAATGTTGACACTTTCTCCAGTGGGATACGGTGCTTGAATGTGTACTGCTCCTTGCCATTCACGTATACCTGATGATCCAAAACAACACAGCCTGAGTGTGGACAAGTTCCTAGATTTCTTTTAGGGGTGCGCAGTGAGTTTTGTGTTTCAAAGCACATACCTGATATCCTTCGGATTTGATGACTATGATCGTCTCAAAAGCTTCTCCCTTTATAAAGGGGTTGTCAGAGAGACTTTCCGCACTTTCCCATTTTCCATTCCTGAAGCTGTTCATGGCCACAACTGAGCCCAATCGAGGGTTGAAGTGGAAGGCAATGTCATCAGTGTCAGATTGCCCAGTTTTGAAATTAATTCTAAACCTGCATGAAAGTTGAGGAATGTGAAATTAACCAAATCCAGATAAGGACTCAACTTTCTACTTCTGGCGTTCTCTGGCCCTTGAGATCCACTTTCCTGCAGAGTTTTGCTCCAACCCTAAACAAACAAACCTGTACAAGCTCATCCCAATCTTCAGGACTACAGGAAAGTTTCAGGCAGGTTGGTTTGATCAAGGTTGGAGGAAACTCCTCAGTGAAGTGGATCCATTACCTATCCCTGAGTCTGTGCATATCTGAGGATGTGGTCTATCCCTGACGGAACTGTAGTGTTGCATTCATTTTATATTTGGTTGTATACCCAAGGCCAAAATAACTACTTACCGGTCAGCATTAGTAGGTACAACTCCCTGCAAGTACAAGGCCATTCCAACTCTCAGTCCTCCAGAAATTGGACCCACATAAGGAAGGATCTGCAGGAAGAACAAGAAAATAGGCATTACCCTATATTGACTAGATTCTTATGGCAGGTTTTTTTTTACCTCAATGAAATGAGACATTTAGAATTTCATTGTTTAAAAACGATCATCAAAATCCCAAAACTACGGTGAGACAATTGCTCTTGGTTGAAACAGTTCTCAAGCACTGTTGTTTCACTAAGTATTTGCACTTTGTTGTGCGTTCAGAAGTCACTGGAATGGAACGGTCACTCACAGGGTTTTGGACTGGCTGCAAGATCTCTGACTGTACGGTGGAACGTTCCCCACGTGAGCTGCCCAAACTGATGATTTGTGTTGTAACTTCTGTAGGGAATGAAGTTGTGCTCCAGTTCTAATGAGGTAACACAGGGAGAGAGAGAGTGTGTATTTAGAAGGCTCTTTACATTCAATGTAATTCTTAATGGATTCTGACAAAGTTTCAGTAAAGTTTTAATATTTCCACAGCTATATGAAATTTAAGTTACTTGTATGAAGCCAAGAAGTTTCACATCAACAACTCCTTTGATGTTTAATGTTGACACTTTTTCCAGTGGGATACGGTGCTTGAATGTGTACTGCTCCTTGCCATTCACGTATATCTGATGATCCAAAACAACACAGCCTGAGTAAGGACAAGTTCCTAGATTTCTTTTAGGGGTGCGCAGTGAGTTTTGTGTTTCAAAGCACATACCTGATATCCTTCGGATTTGATGACTATGATCGTCTCAAAAGCTTCTCCCTTTATAAAGGGGTTGTCAGAGAGACTTTCCTCAGACTCCCATCCTCCATTCCTGAAGCTGTTCATGATCACATTTGAGCCCATTTGAGGGAGGAAGTGTAAAGCAATGTCATCAGTCTCAGATGACCCGGTCTTGAAATTTATTACAAACCTGCATTGAAGATGATGCGTTAAAGCAACTGACTCCAAAAAGCATTGAATTGTTTTTGTCCATATTGTTCAACAAACCAATTCCTTACCAGTCAGCATTAGTGGGAACAACTCCCTGCAAGTACAAGGCCATTCCAACTCTCAGTCCTCCAGAAATTGGACCCACATAAGGAAGGATCTGCAGTAAGAACAAGAAAATAGGCATTACCCTATATTGACTAGATTCTTATGGCAGGGGTTTGAACTCAATGAAATGGGACATTTAGAATTTCATTGTTTAAAAAAGGATCATCAAAATCCCGAAACTACGGTGAGACAATTGCTCTTTCTTGAAACAGTTCTCAAGCACTGTTGTTTCATTAAGTTGTGCGTTCAGAAGTCACTGGAATGGAACGGTCACTCACAGGGTTTTGGACTGGCTGCAAGATCTCTGACTGTACGGTGGAACGTTTCCCACGTGAGCTGCCCAAACTGATGATTTGTGTTGTAACTTCTGTAGGGAATGAAGTTGTGCTCCAGTTCTAATGAGGTAACACAGGGAGAGAGAGTGTGTATTTAGGAAGGCTCTTTACATTCAACGTTAATGGATTCTGACAAAGTTTCAGTAAAGTTTTAATATTTCCACAGCTGTAGGAAATGTAAGTTACTTGTATGAAGCCAAGAAGTTTCACATCAACAACTCCTTTGACGTTTAATGTTGACACTTTTTCCAGTGGGATACGGTGCTTGAATGTGTACTGCTCCTTGCCATTCACGTATATCTGATGATCCAAAACAACACAGCCTGAGTGTGGACAAGTTCCTAGATTTCTTTTAGGGGTGCGCAGTGAGTTTTGTGTTTCAAAGCACATACCTGATATCCTTCGGATTTGATGACTATGATCGTCTCAAAAGCTTCTCCCTTTTATAAAGGGGTTGTCAGAGAGACTTTCCTCAG